TCTGTGAATCTTTTCAAATAGTTATAATAGCCAGAGACTCTGTGAAAATATTTACTCCTCTTTTCTAAGGGTCAGTGGGAACAAGAGATCATTAAAAACTATTTCTTTTCAGTTTGCATAAGCATAGTTTGCTAAGTTGAGGATTATCCATAGACCACGAAGTCGGCAAATAAGTAAAAATGAAAGAGAAAAGAGCTTTCTTATGCACATCAGAAAACAGAACATTCAAAACAATCCACCAGTATAATAAAACAAATAACCATGATTATATTTCCCTCATTAGCTTATTAAGCTCATGTGATTTATTCTTGACTCACAAATCTGCAGTGTACTTCCGTGGCCATTTGCTTCTGGGCTAAAAAGTGTCCTAGCAGTCCTAAAATAGCCCTATGGTTTAGTTTATAGATGTCCACTTGGGGTCAGTGAATGCTGAGAAGCCTGGCTCCACATGTCTCTCCCCGTTAAGAGTCAATCACTGCTGCAGTGTTTTCTGTGAAGGCACAGGGTCTGTCTTTGTTGAAGACTCTAGCACAGGTCTTCAAGGCAAACATGAAAAGAAAGCAGAAGCCATCTGTTGTTGATTAAAATAAAGTCTCTATTAGTTTATTACTGTAGACAATTATATCAGAATAGGGTGAATAAAACCCTTTATTAGTCAGTATTTCCTCAAGAGCAAGAATATACTGTGGACATGGGGAAAATGACATACGTATTTAAAAAAGTAACATAGGGAAATGTGTTAGCTTTTTTGCTGCTGTGACTAAAAGAGCTGGCCAGAACAATTTTAGAGAAGGAAAAATTTGGGGGCTGGGGATGTGGCTCAAGCGGTAGCGCACTCTCGCCTGGCATGCGTGCTGCCCGGGTTCGATCCTCAGCACCACATACAAACAAAGATGTTGTGTCCGCCAAAAAAACTAAAAAATAAATATTAAAATTCTCTCTCTCTCTTTAAAAAAAAAAAAAAAGGAAAAGAAAAATTTGGTTGAGGGCTCATGGTTTTAGAGGTCTTAGTCCACAAAGGGCAGTTTCATTCCTCGGTGCTCAGAGACAGACTCAGAGCCAAAAGAGTATGGTGGAGGCAAGCAGCTCCCATGTTGATCAGAAAGGAGAGAAAGAGAGAGAGAGACACTCCACTCTCCAGGTACAAAATATATACTCCACAGCTATGTCCCCAGTGAACCACTTCCTCCAGCCACATCCCACCCGTCCTCCACGTACCAGCCAGTTAATCCCATTAGGGATTAATTCACTGATTAGGTTAAAGCTATAACCCAATAATTTCCCCTCCAAAACTTCTTGCATTGTCTCACACATGAGCTTTTGGGGGGATACCTCACATACAAGTCACAACAGGAAGATAAACATTATTTTTTTGATTGGACAGCATGTCTGCTTATGTGGGCTTAATATGTAATGCAATTCTTAGATTATTAGCCAGTCAGGAAATATGGAGCATATAAACCATAGCCAGTTAATACTAGTATCCCTCCTGCTTGTGAATGACACATATATGTCATAGGTAGATACTAAAATATTAAGCCTTTATTATTTGAGCTAACTGGGAAGCATCAAAGATGGTTTGGCATGTAAAAACACATTAACAATTACACCTTTCTAAATTCTGAAACTGAATCTGGGAAGGCAGCCTTAAAAATAATAATAATAATAAAAAACCATCACTGACCTAAAACAAAAATGTATAGGCTGGGAAACAATGAATGGTTGTAGCTTTTCTAGTTATTAACCAGAATGACAATATACTATTGCTAGATAAATATAACTGGAGGTGAAATGAGAAGGAACTTTAGCTATTTCACAATGAGGGAACTTTTCTGTTGTTTTGTTTTTAAATAATCAATGGTATGATGGAGTCAGCACAAAGCACAGAAGGTTATTCTGGTTTGGGTATACAATATCTGCTATTTGGGAAGATTACACAGAAGTTAAAAATAACTTTTACTATCTTTTGATAAGAACAAAGTGAATGTTCCAAGACTAGTTTGCTATTTTCCATAGAGAAAAAGAAAACCAAATTCTGTTTATGCATTACAATTGAATAACAATTGAAAGTAAAGGATTCATAGTCCTTGAATTTTTTTTATGAGTAAGCCTATTAAAGCAGAGCCAATTTAGGCAGTTTTAATGCATTTCTTTATTTCTTTCCAGACTCATTACTTGAAAGTATTATAAACCAAAGAAAACAATGGTTTTCTTTTCCTCAATTTCTACTGCTTGCCCATTCAAATTTTGTCTTTTACCAATCTTTCACATTCTGGCATATTTACTTCCAGACAAAACTACTCACTTTTCCCCTTTATGACTCAAACCATATGCATAATTGTACATACACATTCATGTTTCTTAGCTACTTCAATTCTTAGTATAGTCTCAGTTAGGCCCAGAAATTGTCACTTTTAACCAAAGTGGCCTATCTATCTCTTATTTCTTCTTGAGGTAACTCTAGGCAAGTAACTGAGTATGGTTTGAAATATGAATCAAAAGCAATTTTTATAAAACTTTCCATGGCCACACATCCCTTCTACACTTCTTAAAGTGATAAATGGAACACACATAATAATATAATACAAAGGTTATCCACTCTCAAACACATAAACATGAGAGGCCAAGGTGTACACATGTGTGTGCATACTATGCTTGATGAATAATGTTTTGTAGTCTAGTTTCCTTAGAAATAAGTTAGATGATATTAGTTTGGAAAATTATAAACAATATAAAGCAAGATGATGGGATAGAGTGATGGAGAGTGGTTTTTTTTTTTTTTTTTTTGTACCAGGGATTGAATTCAGGGGTACTTAACCACTGAGTTACATCCCCAGCCCAATTTTGTATTTTTATTAGAATTAGGGTCTCACTGAGTTGCTTAGCACCTCGATTTTGCTGAGGCTGGCTTTGAACTCGTGATCCTCCTGTGTCAGGCTCTGGGATTACAGGTGTGTGCCACTGCACCTGGCTGGAGAGTGTTTTATTATGGAGATTATAACTAATATAAATTTCTTAGGTGTAGGCACAATAAATGAAGATAATTCCTGTTCTTCATGCCTAGAATGTTTAGGAGTTATTTAATAAATAAATGCATGAATGAAACATTTACTCACAATAATTGTATTAAGAGGAATCGTTCTCATTTTACTAATTTACAAGTTAGAAAACGAGGAATTAATGATTCTTTAACTACTGAGAGACAGACTCAGAAAATTGGTTTCCTCGATTCCATTTTGATGTGTCAATTTATTCTCAATTGAATATATAAATATACTTGTATAGGTGAAAAAGGAAATGTAAAGGTCTTAGGTAGATCTAACTTAAAACGAGTCTAGCTTAGGCTGCAGACAGAGCTGTAAACTTCCCACAGGACATTCAAACTGTCTCTTGGCTTGTGTTTTGGGTACCAGAGTGAATCAATATTAAAAAGATATTAATACTCTGCTAAATGGAAAAAGCAGACTAAGCATGGCTGATACTGGCTCCAGTCTGGGGGCCTCTGCATTGTCCCAGAGGGAAGCCAGCATTCATGTTAGGGTCACATTCAGTTATGAACTGTCCACCCAAAGGATCCCATCCACTTCTACCAGGGAACACTGTAATAAATCAATATTGTCCTCCTTTAACTTATTTTTTTCTTATTAAATGAGAGTTTTGAATTGAAAAATTTAGAATTGGGTTGTACTTGTTTTTAGGGTGCCATTATTTTCTCTATGATTAAAATATGCCGTTAGCCAGGCCTGGTGGCACAGGCCTGGAGTAATTCCAGCAGCTCAGGAGACTGAGGCAGGAGGATTGCAAGTTCAAAGCCAGCCTCAGCAATTTAGGGAGGCCCTAAGCAACTTAACTAGACCCTATCTCAAAATATAAACAAACAACAACAACAACAAAATAAACAGGCTGGGGATGTGGCTCAGTGGTTAAGTGCCCTGGTTCAATCCCCAGTACCAGACCACCCCCCCAAAACAAAAACAAAAACAAAAACGAAAATAGAAACATGCTGTTGGATGATAACCCTTACAATTTTTGTCAAATCATTTCTCACTTCTATCCCGTGCATCCTCATTGCCCTCCCTCTAAAAAATGACATGGCATGGGGTAATGATTTGGTGTCATTTCTGCTGACTTCATCTGTGAGTCAGAGGAAATGATAGCGGGTAAGTTCAGGGCTTACATCATCTCAAATTTAGGCCTGGGTAGGTCAGTATGGTTCTTGTTAAGTGGGTAAATAACTGGGCTCCAGGACTTTTCACTGGAAGTCAAAACTTATGCTTCTTTATTTCAGAAGAGTAAGATTGAAGTAAACTCTGCTGTGGAATTAAGAAGTGTGGGTGGGTGCTGAGGTGGGATGGGAGTCCTCCCTCATTCCATAGATTGTGTGTGTGTGTGTGTGTGTAAGGAAATTGCAGAACTGGCATGTCTGTGTGGAAGATGGGCCATGAATAAAGAGATGGGAAGCCTTTTAGAGGTTGAATTTCAATGGGCCTCTGACCACCTTGGACTTCATTGTTATCGCAAAATAATCAGGAAGTCTGGAGTTTCATTATGGCAACCAAGCAGCTTCACACTGGTCCTCTAAAGTCAATCCTTAAAAAAGGGCTGGGAGACAGGCCTTATTATCCTCTTACAGAAAGAGTGAACAGAGAGGCAGTCTCTAAGGATCCTACACGCCGCATACTGCAAAGCAGGAACTCTTGAGTTCTGGCTCCAACATCCAACCCTCACTAGACTTTCCCATGTCTAGACCGCAGCTGGAAAAGATCTTGGACACGCTGTAGACCAACCCTCTCTGCCTACAATAGAGTAGAGCTGGAGAAGCCAAGTGACTTGTTGAAGGCCACACAGCGAGTGACGACGGGAACCTGAGACTCCTTTTTTTCCCTTGAAGGTTCCTTTTTTTTTTTTTTTTTTTCCCTCTACCAGTCAGCGAGGGAGGCTGGGGAGGAGCTGAGCAAGGTTTGCACCCAGGCTGGGGGCCGTGGCTTTCCGGGGGCGGTCCTCAGAGGCCCGGCATTCCACAGCCACTCGAGCGCCGCGCGCTGGGGGTTGAGCACTGTCCTAGCAGTGCCCGAGCGCTCCTGGGCTCCGAGGAGCCGGACTCGTTCCTGGCGCTGGCTGGGGTTGAGATTCTAGGGCTGGGGGCCGCTTCCGGCTGCCGGATCCCGCTTGATCCTGGATACCTGGAGAAGCGCTGGGCAGTCCGGGCGCCAGGAACTTTCCGCAGACCTGCTGAGATCCGGCGTTGGCGGGGGCCTCAGGGTTTGAAAGCAGCACCGCGGCTCCGGGGTGAGTGAGGCCATGGGGTGTGGATTGTGGGGCTCCGGTGGAGTGGACCTCTTCAGACTCGCGACCTAGCTCTTAGCTGCTCCTACTCCAGTGCCCTCCCAGCGCTCCTCTTTCTGCCATCGCCTCCCTCATTTCTTCCCCTTCACTTTTGCATTTCTTCCTCAACAATCCCACCTTGTGCTGTCAGCCCCTAAGTCCCAGCCACTTTTTGCACACAATCTTGGGCCCTTAGGGAGGCTGGAATTTGGATCGGGAGCCGCAGCCTTACTCGCAGAAGGGCTGCTCCCAGGGTTGCCCTGCTCCTGCGATTTCGGAAAGCGGTCCCCCTCCTCCGGCAGAGGCTGCCCCTCTTGGCTACCCTGGCCCGCCGTCAGGGCTCAGCCACCCAGCCTGAACGCGCTTGGCCACTGCGCTGGATTTTGTCTTTGAAGCCAAATCAGCGGGCCGTCTGTCCAGCTTTTCTCAGAACTCCACGCAGAAAGTGCCGGGAGTTTGGACTGATGGGTTCTAGCCCCGGTTGTGTTCCTAGCTGCTTCACCATTATCTGTCTGTGTCTTGTTTCTCCATCTGTGAAGTGAAGAAAACACACTTCGCTAACTGAAAGCAAGGAGAAGGTATCTTGGAAAGGAGCCCTTCTCCCAGGTTAACTGCTCCTTAAGTTAGAATGGCTGGTTCTTTTAGAATCCTTGCCCCCATCCCCACCCCTCCCCCATTTATTGAGTGTTGCACTCCCCATCTGTCCTTATTTCTGAGCCATCCTCAGCACTTGGCACAGAACATGGCAAATTGTAGCGCTCAATACATGCTCACTGTGTGAAAAGACAAAAGATGGGAGCCACGAAAACCTGAACAAATGTCAGGAGTTGTTATTCGGACTGAATGGGCTGGCCTTTCATTCCCGCAGCCTCCCCTTCCCTTCCTGACTGGTAGTTATCCCTGGCTCCTGAGGGCTGATGATTCTCTGGATTGTGTAGACAGTGGAGCAGGCTCTAGTGGAGGAAGCTGCTCAGTCATTAACTTATCAGAGAGTCCTAGAACATCTGCTATGATCTGTGGTGTCACAGCCAGAAGGTTGGTGAATGTCTGATTGAAGTGGGTGGGGGTGGGAAGAGCAATTCTCTGTGGGTTAGGAGTTTCTCTGAGTTACCATGACTTAGGCAATTTGCCCTTTCTGGACTTTATCTTCCCTGTCTGTAAAATGGGAAGTGGGAGTGGGGCAGATGTGTTATTGTGGGTGAGCATAGCGAGCTCTGTGGGTTGTGTGGTGCACCCATCAACCATCTGAACACATGGGAGACAGCCCAGACTAGCTTTAGGACAATCTGCTCTTTTTCAGTGAGAACAGAAGAAACTACAAAGTGCTTCTCTGTTCTAGTGGAGACATCTTGTTTCCAGGTCTTGTGGGTTGTGAATCATGCTGTGGGGTGACAAGGCATGCTCCATCAAGCTCCCACACTGACCTTTCAGGACCTCAGAACTGTGGGGCTCCATTTCTCACAAAGTCTGGGGATTCCCCCTCTCTTGTGTAACTGGAGGAGACTGGAGCTGTGATGAAGTGTTAGAGACACAAAACAAATGACAGGCTCTTGGGGCTATGGTTGGGTCAGATCCTGGGACTAAGGGGTGACAGAACAAGAGTGTAAGGAGTAGTCACAGCCCAGATCATTCCCAGCTGTTTTCTGATACTCCTCTAAATGTGTGCTTCTGTTTCTTCTCTATGGATTAAAACATACAAATGAAGGATATATCTCTAAGGAAAAAAGGTCTTTATTTTGGTTGTTCTTACACTATTGTCAGTGGGAAGATAGATGGACACAAGTTTTACTCTCCAATGTTTCTAGAAATAAGTCTTGACATCACCACACTCTGCAGCCCTCCACCCACATTGTCCAGGCATGCTGAATAATGGAATCATAATTCTACTTGACATACCATGAGCCAGGCATAATTCTTTTTTTTTTTCTTCTTCTTGGTACTGGGAATTGAACCCAACATTGCTTAACATCCACATTCCTTCAAACTTAATTTTTTTTTTTGGTACTGGGGATTGAACCCAGGAGTGCTTCACCACTGACCCACATCCCCAGCCCTTTTTATAAACAGGGCCTCACTAAATTACTTATGGCCTCGATAAGTTGCTGAGGCTGTTCTCGAGAACTTGTGATCTTCCTGTCTCAGCCTCCCAGGTTGCTGAGATTATAGGCATGTCCAACCTCACTCATTTGGTCTTGACCACAGTTCTATTAGGGAGGGATGATCATTCCCTCCATTTAATAAATGAGGAAACTGAGCTCCAGAAAGAGGAAGCAACTCATCCATGATCACACAGGAAGTGGCAGAGTGAGGTTTGAGTCCAGGCAGTCTGACTTCAGGATCTGTCCTCTGAACTTCATTGGAATTTGGGGGAAGCAGGGTTCAGATCTTGCCTCTGTTACTTACTTGCAGGATGACCTGGGGGAAATCAGGTGACAATTTGACAGTGTACTAGAAGGTCACTAGCCCTAGTCCCCTTATAGCTCTTTAGGGGGGCAGAAGGGGAGTCTCAAGAGAGAATGGAATGGTAAAGTCTGTTGGGTAGCCAGGAAGGGGAACAGGTGAGAATTAGAATTGCCTGGCATATTAAGCAATAGCAAGCCAGATTCAAACTGAGTACATTGCTTGATTGTGTGTAGCTTTCTTATTTTATTCGTTTGTACTATGATTAGCTGATGGATCTATGTTTTGCTGGTGACCCCACCATACAAGATCAGGGTGAATGAAATAGAGGAGGGACAGGTGATGCAGAGAAAACTGAATTTTCTAAATCAGTTTCAACTAATGATGACAAGTGTCTGGAACAATTGTCACTACTTCTGATCCCTTCTCAGACAGACCTTGATGATCAGAACTTTTCACCTTATCTCCACAAGGCCCTGGAAACTTAAAAATTTTTTTAAAAAAATGTTTTGATTATACATTATAATTATATATAATAGTCGGGCTCATTTTGACATATTCATAAATGCATATAATATAATTTCCTCCATTTCAATCCCCAGTACTTCCCATTTTCCTGTCCTCTTTCCTCCCCCTGATCCCTTTCCTCCACGTTGATGGTCTTATTTCTGTTTATTTATTGCTTTTAAAAAATTGGTACATTAAAATTATACATAAAAATGGAATTCAATGTGATGTATTTATACATGCACATAATTTGGTCCATATCATTTCACAGTTCCTTTCCTTTCCTATTCCTCCTCTTTCCTCTATTCCCTTCCTCTACTGTCCTCCCTTCTATTTTCATGAGATTGCCTTTTTTAAATTCCTTGCTTCTCTCTTTCTTCCAAATAATGAGAGAAAAATCTGATTCCCGACTTTCCTTTTTTTTTGGTACTGGGGATGGAATCAGGGGCACTCTGCCACTGAACTACATTCCAAGTCCTTTTTGATTTTTGATTAGTGAGACAGAGTCTCACTAAGTTGCTGAGGTTCTTGCCACGTTACTGAGTTTGGCCTCAAACTTGTGATCCTCCTGCCTCAGTTTCCTTAGTTGCTAGGATTAAAAGTGTGTACCATTGACCCTTGAATTTCTGAGTGTGGCTTATTTTACATAACAATGTTTTCCAGATCCATCCATTTACCAGCAAATAACATAATTTCATTTTTCTTTATGACTGAGTAGAGCTCCACTGTGTATATATACACCGCACTTTCTTTGTCCATCCATCTGTTGACAGACATCTAGGCTGGTTCCATAACATGACAATTGTGAACTGCACTTTAGGTATCACTGGGGACTTCCGGTATCACTAGAGTATGCTTCTTTCAGTTCTTTTGGATAAATACCAAGGAGTAGCATAGCTGGGTCATATGGTGGTTTCATTCTTAGTCTTTTGAAGAATCTCCATACTGCTTTTCAAGGTGATTGTTTGTAGTTTGCAGTCCTACCAATTATCTATAGGTGTTCTTCTCTCCCCATATCTTCACCAATGTTTGCTTATTTTCTTGATGCTTGCCAATCCAAACGGTGTGAGATGAAATCTCAGTGTAGTTTGATTTGCATTTCCTTGACTGCTGAGGATGTTGAACATTTTTTCATATATTTACTGGCCATTTGTACTTTTTCTTTTGAGAAATGACTGTTTACTTCATTTGTCCATTGATCGGCAATAATTATTTGTTTTTCTGGCGTTTTTTAAGTTCTTTTTTATTTCAGATATCAGTCCTCTGTCAGAAGAGTAGCTGAAAAGATTATCTCCCATTCTACAGATTCTTTCTTCATGCTTGTAATTGTTTCCTTTGCTGTGGGGAAGCTTTTTAATTTGATGCCATCCCACTTATGGACTCTTGGTTTTATTTCTTGAACTTTAGGAGTCTTATTAAAGAAGTCAATGCCTATATGTTGAAATGTTGACCCTGTGTTTTCTTCTGGCAGTTTCAGTGTTTCTGGTCTAATATTTAGATCTTTGATCCACTTTGAGTTCACTTTTGTGCAGAGCGAGGGATAGGGACCTATTTTTATTCTTCTACATATTCAATTTTCCCAGCACCATTGGTTAAATGGTGCTTTTTGTTTTTTTGGTGTTTTATGTTTTTTGGTGCCTTTGTCAAAGGTCTCTGTGTCTTATTCTATTCTATTGGTCTTCATGTCTATTTTTATAGCAATACCACCCTATTTCTGTTCTTATAGTTCTGTAGTATAATTGGAGATTGAGTATTGTGATAAGATCTCAAAATCTTTAGCTCCCTGCTCTGGACTGCTTCTACCAATTGAAGCTGGAGCCTTCTGCTGGCTTTCCCAGACTTCTCACTTTATTCCTCTAAGGTAGTTCAAGAAAGAAACAAATGGCAGAACAGGAGACCCTCTGTTTAGTGTCTTAGACGTTATCTTAGGAAACATCTTGGAGCTTTTAAAAGATTCCTTTTCTCTTTATTTCACTCTCTTCTGTTTTTTTCTTAAATGGTTTTCAACCCAATTTCATCCTGGAACTAGGGATAAAGCTGTGGTGGAGGCAGAGTGT